TCTCTCTCTACAGCCAACCTTTGATGATTTATTCCAGTAGACACAACTTTAAATATAATCTACATACTTTTGAAACCCACATTTCTATTTTCAGTCCAGTTCTTTCTCCAGAACACCAGCTCCACACATAGTTATTTACGCAACATCTCCACTTGGATATCTAACAGATATCTCAAACTTAGAATGTCCAAAACTTAATTCCTAACTTCTACCCCCAATACTCCAAATCCATTTCACATGACATTTACCTTATCTCAGTTGATAATAACACCATCTTTGTAGCTACTCAGTCTAAAAAGTCCTTAACTCTACTTTCTCACATTCTGTATCTAATCTAACAGAAAATACTATTAGCTCTACCTTCAAAATATATTCAGAATTTCATCAACTTCCATTACTACTATAAACATATTATTTGAAAACCTAGGTGAAAATGCAAATGCAATCTCTTTTTGTCTCTCTCTCACAAATCCCTCATGTTACCATTAGAGATGGCTACTAAAGAAACTCCTTACTCTAATAACTAGTAATTATTGTAATAGGAAAAAAACTAAGGCATTTGCCCTGCCTTTCCAGTAAAAACTGTAGTTGAAGGTAACCGATAATGCACAACTCTTCTTTATTGAAGAATGACAGCTAATAAATGTAGAAGGCATGATAAAACTAGTAAATCAACAATTTGGAACCTTAAAGAAATAATTGACTCAGGAAAGGATCACCCATGTATTCTAAACTGCTTAATGTAAGGTTGATGAAAAAGTGAGTATTCACATGGTGCCAAAGTATCAACCTGCAGATAACTTGCTACTGACAAGGGAGGAAATGTCACTGTATAATGGAGGGATTAGACTGCCATCAATTTACTGGAACATTAAAAGTCAGACAGATATTGGATGTTATTCGATATAAAACATAAAGCACAACTTATGAAGTATTGTTGCCATTAAACATTTTACCTGAATATAGTCAAATTAAGCTTTTAGATCTAACTCCAAGTATATAAGAAAGACAGAGACAAAGAAGAAATTAAACCAACCATGAAAAAGCAGTTAGATAAATCTAAAAGGTGTAGTCTTCTATGAGAATGATCTCTTTAACAAGTAAATGCCATTAAAGGAAAGGGGGATGGTATTCTAAATTAAAAGAGACTGAAAAGTCCTAACAATCAAATATAATGTGTGGTCTTTGACTGGATCATCACTTGAACAAACCAGTTGTAAAATGCATTTGGGGGGCAATTTGGGAAATATGAATATGGTCTGGATTTATTATATGATAGCAATCTAGTTAGTATGATATTGGTGTCACGGCTAAATAGAAAAATGCTCTTACTTTTTCAAAAGTACAAACTAACGTATTTCGGAGTAAACGTTCATGATATTAGTAACAAGTATTACTATGTTCAAAAAAGTATTGTTAAGCTTACTTCTAGGTAATGGGGTTATGAGTAGCCATTACATTATTCCCTTTCCTATATGTTTGAAAATGTTCATAAGTGAAAAAGTAAAAAGAAACAAAATGAAAAAACGAAGTCAGATCATTTCACTCTTCACTCAAAATCCTCCACTGGCTTCACCAAGCATCAAAGTAAAAAACCTTGCACTAGCTCTCTGTGATCTGGTCCCTCATCTTTGACCTCGTCTGCTACCACTCTCCCACTCAATCACTATGATCCAGTCACACTGGCCTCCCTTACTGTTTGTTCTGCAACACATCAGCATGCTCACACATCAAGGCCTTTGCATTGGCTGTTTTCTTCGCCTGAAGACTCTTCCCAAGATGTCTGCATAGTTTACATCCTCACATCCTTTGCTTAAACCTCACCTTTTCAATGAGGTCTACTCTCACTATTCTATTTAAAATTCCAACCTGCCACTCCTGCATCCCCAATCTTCCTTATCCTGCTCTATATACATTTTTTGTTGTCCCATCTCATCGATCAACTTCTAACATACCATATAATTTACTACATAGAATGTTAGCATCATGAAGCAAGCATTTCTATTTGTTTACAGATGCAGCCCCAGCACATAGAACATTAGCTAGCACATTAGAGGTGTTCAATCAATATTTCTTAAATAAATGAATTTGAGTTTTAATAACGCTAACCATGGTACCACTATTACTACTATTATTGTGTTTTGCATCCACAAATCAAGGAGCTATGATATGGATCAGAGTCATCATCTCCTTCTTCTTTCCTGCAGCAAAACAACTCCAGCAAGTTTGTTTTTTGGTACCCTCTCACTTTCTAGTACTCCACTCTTCCTGTCCTTTGTGCTGCCCCTCATGCTGTCCCTAAATCCTCTATCATAGCAATTAGGGGAATTGAGCAGATGTGCCTGCCCCAATTTTCGAAAATGTTCATATGCTCAAAGCCGCTTACATCCCTTACTACTCTTCCAAGTCAAAGCATCCAGTATAGCTGATCACAGGTTAAAACTTGAATAATCACTCTCACTTCATAGCAGGAATAATTAGCTTTGCCTAGAAGTCCTAGCATTGAGGGGAGGGAAAAAAGCAGCAGCCTGTTAATCCAAATAAATCCAATTGGTGAAAATACGGGTTGTATGCAGGGCGGGTATGAACATTTTCAGGTAGTGATGGGAAGAGGGGAGGGTGGAGTAAAGCAAGAGACAAACATACATGGTGATCGCACATGCCTAGGAGCCAACTCCCTAGGTTACATCCCCTAAGCAGTTCATGCTTTTCATGGCTTTCCTTACTTTACCTCCCAGATGACAAATTACCTAAAATATCTGACATTTCTTCCCCTGCCATTAGTGATCCTTAAGACTGCAGATTCTCAAAACAAGGTACTTCAGGCAACAGAAATGAGGGAATGGTATTACACAGAGCAATACAAGGTTTACTCTTTCCAATAACAGGTTATTTCTAAATCAAATGTCTCTTGATTGGGTATTATATAAGAAAAAGGTCCATTATCTATTTAAAAAACAATTATTCCAATACTGTCAACCCCCAGGGATATTTTAATTCAGCTCACATAGAGTTACCATTATGAGGAATATTTTCATACAAAAATTTTAATTCTAAAAGTCACATTCCACTAAGAATATCTGATGTTATGCAGATCATCATTACTCACTGCAGTATGCTCTGAAACATACCATCTCCAAAGCCCTAATTTATAGTCTAACTAATCATGCCCAAGTTAAATTTCAGCTCCCCTCCTGCTTTTAGCAGTTAGCTTCATGTTCTCAAACCCAAAGCTATTATGGTGCCTCTTAAAATGTGATGAAATACTTGAACTTCTCTTTCCCTGTGCTAAGACTGGATTCCCTGGCCTCTGGAAGGAACAGGAACAGCTGCCATCACTAATTTTTGAAAACAAAGGTGATATACTCTCTTGCCCAAAACCCAATCATGTGTCTTGTTTGGTATCAAAAAGCTATATGCTTTTAAGGTCTGATCTGATTTTTCTTCTGGAGCATCCCAGAGCGCTGGAAATAAGAGATAACCAGAGGCAGTAGGCGGCATATCATTTGAAAATCCTAAAAGAAATCACCTCACTATCCTGAACTTGAGCTCCAGAAGGCAGTAATAGACACACTTCACCAGAGAATCCTCAGTGTCTAGCCAAGCAACAGCATATCACGAACACTCAATAAATGATTATTTCTTGACTAGCTGAGTACCCCAAGCAAGAAGACAAGTTAGGGAAGCTATACCAAAAGGATAACGGAGGCCTTATTACATTAAAATCCTCCATGCTATCAAGAGAGTTATCTTCCTAAAATTTAGATTACTCACTTACAATTAGTGAGTTTACAACAGATTAAGCAGTAAATTAATCCAGAGAAATTAGTAAAACATAGACCCTGCCCTAAATGGTTTACAATCTGAAAAAGAAGATACAAATAATGTATTCTAATATAACCTGATAAGTGCTACAAGTCTTTGTCAAATTTTAAGAGAATAGAGATCAAGAAGTGACTAATTCTGCATGGGTGAAGTATTAGCCAAGACTTTATAAATCAAGTACCATTTGATCTTAAAGATTAAATAGGAGTTCACAAGATGAAGAAAAGACAGGTAAGAAGTTTTCTAGTTATAAGGAACTGAATGGAAACAAAGGTCTATTCATAGCAACGTCTAGACCTAAGTTTAGGAAACAGCAAATAATTTGTTATGACAAGAATATTAAATTTGAGGGGAAAAAATCACTAAAGATGAGGCTGGAAAGAAAGAACAGTGCTAGATTGTGAAAATACTTTCCTGCCATGTTTAGAAGTTTGAATTTCATTCTGCAGGCAAAAAGGTCTTGAGCAGTGTGTCAATCAGAAGTCTTTTAGAATGTAACACTAATAATAATATGAAAGATGAATTGAAAGAGAAATAATCAGAGGCATAGATTTGCTAGATAACTACTGCAGGGGTTTGAGTGAAAATTGATGTACAATATGCCTCAAGGATGTATTCACACCCATAAAAACTTCCAGTGGTCACTGTCTATACAATAAACTTTTAACTCAACACAGTATTCACAGCCCTCGACAATTAAAAGTGCTCCTACTTTTCCAACTTCACTTCCTGACCCCATTTTTCCCCACATCTTACAATCCGGCCACATGTACCATTTCGTTAATCTGTCTTGTCTTCATTCTCACACATTTGTTACTTCTGCACAGACAATTCTCAACAAACTTCTACTCATTCTTCAAAGACCAGGTTTAAAAAAAAGTTGCATCTATTGTATAACGTCTTCCCTGACTCCATCTTGCCCAAGGCTAAAATTTATTATACTTTCCTCTAGGCTTTCACATCCCATCATTCATACTACCAATACAGCATTTATCACATCACATTGTTAGCTATCCATTTATCTATCTCCTCTGCTAGAATGGCGGAGCAGAAACTAATCATTTACAAATAAAATTAACATTAAATTGTTCATATAAAATCATGAAATTAATCCTAGATATACATAGATATATAGAGGTAGAGATAGATATAGATACACACACATTTTTTTTTACCTGGTAAAACTTGAATTTGAACCCAAGAATATGACACAGTGTTTGCGGTTCACACATACTCATGTAAGATTCTAATAAAGATATAAAGAAGTCATCGTGCTCTGGCCTGCATTCAAACACTTCTAAAATGACATCCAAAACTCTATTGGGATCCAGATTAAAGCATCCTGCAACAAATGAGATATACACAAATTCAAAAGTGATTATACATCATTTCTAATAAAGCCATTAACTTTTCAGGGACAACTTATATAACAAGATAAAACCGTTATTAAAATCAACTTATTTTACAACTTTGTTTACCCTGCCCCAGAAGGAAATCTTCATAATTTTCAAGATCATCAAGTCCACTCCCCACATTTTACAGATGAGAAATGTGACCTGCCTAGGATTATAAAGTGGGTTAATGACAAGGCTAGGACTAGAGCCCAGGGCCTATGACACCAAGTCAAGTAAACTTTCTTCTATGCCACATTGTCTCATCAGTTCTTGATTACTCACACTAGTGAAAAAAAAGACCCACATTTTTAATTCTTAGCAAAATATGAAAATCAAACAATGCATTTTACAAATTAGGCAACTAAAGGGTTTTTATTCAGAAGTATTTGAAATGTTGCTAAACAGTTCATGAAAGTACACCATCATGTTTAGAATCATTTTGTAGTTTATCTTACACATACAACAAACTTACAACATATCATTGTACCACTGATTTATATTTATGGGTTTTGGCAGCATTCTAAAGGGAAAACAGGTATGCTGCTGATACTAAAAAGATGAGAGAACACCAAGGAGTTGGTGTCATAACAAAGGAGTGTAGCTAACACAAGCAAAGATAGATGAAAACAAGACAATCTAGGTAGAACAGGAAAAGGAAAGGAAAAAGCACTGAATAGGTGTTGATGGCTACTTATCCTTGCTAATCTCCTAAAGCAGCTGTTCTCAGGTCACGACCCCTTTGGGGGTCGAATGACCCTTTCACATGGGTCGCCTAAGACCATCGGAAAACAAAAAGATATTTACATTACGATTCATAACAGTAGCAAAATTACAGTTCTAGAGTAGCAACGAAAATAATTTTATGGTTGGGGGTCACCACAACATGAGGAACTGTATTAAGGGGTCAGGGCATTAGGAAGGTTGAGAACCGCTGTCCTAGAGTAAGCTAAAAAGGATCCATGGACATGGACTTAATAAACATTCCTATCAGCCACCCTACTCATTTAATATGTACATTGTCTCTATTTGCACTCAGCTTCAGCAGCTACCATAATTGTATTCTAATGCAATCACATCATATGTGCACTTAATTTATGAGAATGCAACTATTACACACAGAAAAAAAAAGAGAAATAATTTAAATGATATAGGCCATTCTACCCACCATTCCTCTCAAAAAAAATGTATGCTTATGGCCCAGAGTGAGCAAGTTCCTTCAGTTTTTATCAGTTCTCACATGCCTTGTACATCAAGTTGAATGGAATTCTAGCATTTTAAATTACATATTTTTCATTAGACATAACCCCTAAATGCAAGCTAACCATTTCACTGGGGCAAATAAACACTGATTTCTTCTAATGCTGGAGGAAAAAAAGAAAAACTATGTTGAAATTAGCGCGAGATGTTAGGTCTAAACACTATACCTTATGGATACATTAGGGGATTTTTCAAAGAAAATTCTTATATAATCTAAGTGATAAGAGGAGACTTCCAGAGTTACTTCTATTAACTCTACACTTAATTAAATACTATAAAACTAATGTCTGATTCACAGTACAGTAAGTCCTTATTTAACTTTGTCGAGATTCAAGAACTTTAAGCAAAATGATGTATAATGAAATGTTTTACCAAAGATTAATTGATATAAACAAGTGTTAAGTTCTTACAGCATTTCATCAATGTTATAATGAAACAATGTTGAATGAGGACCTCCTGTATCATTACTTGAGGAAATGCTGTATCTTAGCACTCACTTAGAATACCAAACTCTCCAAATACAAGTAGTATTTATTTCCTCTTTTTATGAAATTCAAGGTTAAGAACACATTTTCTTCTATTTCTCATACTAAGGGGAAAAAGGATTAACGCAGTGATCATGTCTTACTGAAAAGAGCTCCAGATTTTTACATATTCTCCAAAGAGATGTATACCTAAAGTTCTGAGAAGAAAACATCAAAACATGTTTGCCCTCTCTGTACCCCCAAAAAGTATGGCCTATTAATGTAAAAGAGACTCCAAAATAGCAACTGGAAATTTTAAATGCTGCAGGTGTAAACATAAAATGTAAAATGGTACAATTAGTGTGTAAAACTGGCAGTTTCCTTAAGAGTTAAACTTACACCTACCATATGACCCAGCCATTTCCTTCCTAGGTATTTACCCAAGAGAAATAAATATCTGTGTCCACACAAAGACTTACACACAAATATTCATACAAGATTTATAATAGGACACTCTCAAATGTCCATCAACATGTAAATGGATAAATTATAGTATAATATAATTGTAGTGTATATAATGGAACACTACTCAGCAATAACAAGGAAATAACTATTAATACAAGCAACAACATGGATGATCACAAAATAATTACACTGAAATAAGCAAGACAAAAAAAAGAGTACTCACAGGGCTTGGCCTAGTGACTCAGTTGGTTAAGAGCTTGCTTAAGAGCGCGATCTCTGAGCAACAGTGTCGCCCAGTTCGATTCCCACATGGGCCAGTGAGCTACACCCGAGCTGAGCTGCCGCTGAGCTGCCAACAGGTGGCAGGATGGCTCAGCTGGTGAGAGCACATGCTCCTAACAACAAGGTGGCCTGTTCATGGGATGATGGGCTACACCCTCCTGCAACTAAAAGACTAAACTGCGCACCTTGAGCTGAGCTGCCACCTGGGTGGCTCATTGGATAGAGCAAGTGCTCTTAACAACAAGGCTACCGGTTCGACTCCCACGTGGGATGGTGGCTACGCCCACCCACAACTAAGACTGAAAACAGCAACTTGAGCTGGGCGGATGTGAGCTGCGGATGGGAAGCCAGATGGCGACTGGACTTGGACCTGAGCTTGCTGTGTTTTCCACAACTAGGATTGAAGGACAACAACTTGGCTGTTCCCCTCCCCCAACCCCCCCAATTAAAAAAAATGCTCACTGTATGATTCCAAATATAAAAGAATTCTAGAAAATGCAAACTAATCTATAGTGACAGAAAGCAGATCAGTGGGTACCTGGGGAGAGGGAAAGGGGGAGTGAGGGAGGATGAATTCCAAAGGGGCAAGAAGAAATTTGGTGGGCGGGGGGAGTGATAGAAATTTACATTATCTAGATTGCAGTGATGTTTTGACAGGTGTTTACATACATTGAAACTCAAATTGTACACTTTAAATATGCACAGTTTACTGTATGCCGATTATGCCTGAATAAAGCTGAAAAAAATGCCTCTAAACTACTGTAACACTGACAATAGATTATGGAAGAAAAGTCTATCAAACTCTCCAACCTTACAACTATAAATTTTTAAATATAAAATTCAAAACTAAATAAAAATGAATAATACTCTATTCTATCAGAGAGGACAAAAGAAACATTGAATACAATTTTGAAAAAATGGCTGGCTAATAATTACCCATTAAGCTACATACACAAAACTTGTGAATTAAGGACTAGAAGAGCAACATGCTACATGGAAATGTTGTGTTTCATTCACATTGCTTTACAGTTTATATTTTCAAGGTGGTTCAATGTGAACCATCGGCATCTTTTATTTAACAGTAGTACACCATAAGGCTATTCTATCAGTGATCTGCACTATCAACTAACTACCAATTTCTTTCTAGCTTCAATTTAAGGGCAGTTATCTAGAAGAGGCATGTACTTTTATTTATAACAGTATCAATCTTTCACAAACAAAAAACTGGCTTAAAAATTGTCTATTAAATGTCTCAGGTGCCATAAGTTATTCCAATCAATTGGAACGACCTTTGCTACATTAGATGGAAAAAGTAACCAAACCAATTTAGAAAATAATTTTTAAAACCTTAGAAATTTGCTAAGTGACAGTTAAACTATTTCATACACAATGAGACTCTAGTAACAATCAGTAAACTTGAAATGTCCAAAATAATGTTTTTTCTAATGGCAGCTGTGGTAGAACATAGGCACTCTTGTGCTCAGGCATCTTAGAAAGGTTTTGTCCAGCCCAAGCATGGATAGTCATGTGGCCTTGAGAGACATCATAAGCCTAGCTCCCTACCTCTATCACCAACCACATTAAGGAATATGTATGTATGAGTGCACACACACACACACAATGCCTTTATGTCTTTTGAAGAGCAAATAGGGAAACATACTGGACAGCAACAGTGGAAAAATAAAGAAATGGCAGATTTGTAATGGCCACGGATTCATTCTTTCGTTTAAATAAATATTAAATAACTACCCACTGTGTGGCAGTGCTTGCGATACGGAGATTAATAAAATGCCTTCCCTACCCTTGAGGGGAGTTCACATCTTTTTTCTTTTTAAGATTTTTTTTTTAATTGGGGAATTGGGGGGATGGGAACAGTGCTGGGGAATCGGGGAAAGGGGAACAGACAAGCTGCCGTCCCCTCGTTCCTCAATCCAGTTGTGGAGGACGCCGCCCCACCGGCCCAAGTTGGCACCATCATTGCGCTCTTCCCAGGCGAGGCAGATCAGTCGCCGGCTTCTGCACGGCCGCTCACTGCGGCTGCTGACCGCTCACGCTGGCTGCTGGCTACACACAGTAGCCCATGGCAACCCACTGCCACAGGGGCTGCAGCCTACGCCGTCGCCGGCGACTCATGGCAGCCCAGCTCCAGGTTGAGCTGTTGTTCAGCATCTTAGCTGTAGAGGGCAGTGTCACTGGCCCTCACATGTGGGATCTGAACCGGGGCCCTCTGGCATCCCAAGCGAGTTCTCAACCATCGCGCCACTCGGCCGACCCACACACACATCTTTTGAATGATACATCTTTGAAGACATGTACTGAAAAATAACTGAAATTTCCCCAAAGATGGACAAGATGGCCAGTATATTAGAGTATATGTGACTGCAACCAGAGGCAAAAGGTATGATTAAACTGAAAATGTCTATTTTAGAACAGGCCAAATTGAGATTCTTAACAGAAAAAAAAAGGCCAAGGTAATATTG